ATGTTTAGAGACTACTTTTGTATGAACAAATTTAGGAGATGATTTTTAAACAAAATATTTACACATAAAAAAAATGTTACTTTTGTTACTGTTGTTAATTTCCTCATCGCTATCGTGAGGTAGGGTGCCCAAAAGATAGGCAGCAATGCCACGTTGAATAATAAAAAAACGGTATTAATTCCTTTACTAGCTAAAAATATACTTATAATATAACATAAGTATCTGAGTAATTTGCTATGGATAGTGTTCACTGTATAGAAATCCTTCTTTTAAAACTACGTTTAAAAAAACCAATTTCAAGGTCTCTTTTTTGAAATCGGTTAATTAATATTCTTCTCTTAAGTGTAACATACGTTTTTCTGAAAACGGCATCGCAATCGGTTTAACCAATCGCGAGATAATCATGCACAAATATACCCACAAGTCAAACTGTGATCATCCTTTTTGTTTGCATTCGACTGAATAGAAATACATTTTAGCTCATCATTTAGTTTTCTTTCAAAATTTATAAATAGTACTTTCGAACGCGGACGCTTCTGGAAGACGATAAAAGCGGATATTATGCACAGGAATGTCCCAGCAATTTGTTAGCACAATGGTAAACGATTTATTTAAAGTTTATGTGCAACGTTGGTTGTCTTCTGGGCACGTTTTTCACAAATAGTATTGATGTCTGGTGAAAATATAGTATTTTCTTTCGTGTCGATTTTGTATTTCTGTTATGATATTCCCTCCATTTTTATGAGATAGGGGGAGAAAAAGCAGAGCCATAATGGAGTAACGGTAAGCAATCAGAGGCTATAGACACTAGAAAAACTAAAGCAATCACTAGTGCATCATCATCATCATCATACATGCCCACTGCTGAGCAAAGCCTCTTCTCACACGGAGAAGGTTTGAGCATTAATCACCACGCTTGTTCAATGCGGTTTGGCGATTTCAAACTTATAATTAGAAATTATAAGACCAGGTTACCGCACAATGTTTTCATTCACCGTTGGTTAGTTGTTTTTAAATAATCTTAGAAAGTACATATAACTCGGAAAAAGTCACATTGGTACTTGCCGTTGGTAGGTTTCGAATCCGCACCCTCGTGCATGAGAAATAGGCGTCTTCAACCTCCGGGCCATCACGACATGACAAGTGCACTTACGCCTTTTGAGCAAGGGCACTGGGCTTCTGACAGCTTCAATTACATCGAGAAATATGCAAGCATTTCTCAACGTCGGATTTCTGTAAAATTGGCCCACTGTATCAATAATTTAAAAAGCATTTTTAAAAGACAACCCATAAAAATGAGTTGTGTTCATCTGCTGATTTCTTTGCGCAGCTAGCCACTTGTTTTAAGGAGCATATTCCTAAACAATAGACTAATGCTATAAAAATATTTGTAAAAAAAAATACGTAAAAAAGCTACCCATCCATTGTCCGATTTCAGGATCGGCTTAACCTTACAAAAATTCGTAAACAGCATTAAGCTGTAAGCTTCCCAAGTAATTTGCCAAATAATAGACTTCATTAAAAATTTCTTTGAGGAGGAAAAGTGCCCACTTTACCGTCCACAAGTTTTACTCTTAATCAAAATTCATAACCGTTTTCTATTGGAAGTGCTCAAGAAATTTTGCTGACACAACGAACGGGAAAAAACTGCAAATGTCCGCTGCGAGGGTATTTTTAAAAAAGCGGTTAAAATCTTTTAAGATTCGAATCGGTTTTCGAAGACCGTTATTGAAGACGGTTAGGAGGATGGATAATTACTTTCTAAGTTTTTAAAAGGATCTATTTTCTTTGTTATAATATGACCAGCTTCTGCCATCGGCTTTGCTCGTTTTTCCGTGGAATAAAAAGTAATGTACGTGTTATTTCACCTAAATTCCATTGTTCCTTGTTTAAAATTTCTTTCCGATTCTTTCAGCCATTTTGACGTGATGGGGTTACAGACAAACAAACATATAAACTCTCCCATAAAAGACAATGTCTAAAATGGCCATGTACAATAAAGAGTATCAGAATATACGATAATTAATCCCCTATTTTATTATATAGCTTGCAAATACTTCTGTATCACGGACTAGCTGTATTCCAAAATGTACTTTTAGAATTTAACGCGATTAATAACATTAAATCACCATCTTCACCTAGTGTCAAATGCCTTCGCCTAGTGTAATAAATAAATACATAAATAAATCAGCAAGTCCAATGTCATGTAAGTGAGTGAAATGTCAAATCAATTATAATCGAACGATTGTGTTTTTTTTATGACTTCATTTTAAATAGGTAGTAAGAATAATATTATACAGTAATCAAAACTTCTTTGTTTCTATACAATCATTGAAACATTCAACATTCGTTCAAATATTCGTTGTTATGGTTAGATTATAACCTTAAAATCTGATACTTTTTTTTAAATATATCTTTTCTGCAGCTAGTGCGCTATAAAAACAAGATCTTCTAAGAGTCTACAAATGATAGAGAATATAATACATAATTATCCGATACACTTGGCTCCAGGGCCAACAATGTATGGACGCAGAGCAATGTCCTTTATTTATTTATTTAAATAGGTATACCATTAGCTTGTGTATACATAGTATAAAAAAATAACAAAGATAACAATATTAGATTTAGGGAGTATCCAGTCGCCAGTTACAAGTTAACCAACTTTACAACTAAGTGATAAAAATAATAAAATAAAATATAAAATGTAAACTATACAAAACCTATACTAATATTAGTTGGATACGATTTAAAACCACAACTATCTATTTTAAAAAAAGATTAAACACAATGATTCATTTATTAATCTGTCAGATATATAATAGTCATATACTTTAAGACATTATCGGAACCAAAAACTATATTTAAAAATGTCACCAACAAAATTTTTGCATACCACATATGTTCTTTGTCGACCCTATTATAACCTACGTGTCTACCATACAATAACACCATAAACAATCATAATAACCGCCCTCCTTTCTTATAACCACAGATAAAGTAGCGTTAGCAAGTAATGGGCCGGATTTCTCAATATGGCCGCCGGAAATTGTCTCTGCACCAAACAGGAAGTGACGATTTTCGGAGGATTAACTACCATAAACGATTACTTTCATTTATTCTGTAATAGTATTGTTTGTTTGAATGATTGCTTGTTATTATGAAACTTGATCATTATAAATATGTTATACTAAGTGGAAGTATGTCTTTGTGTTTGTAGTAAATGATGTCAGTTAAGGTTATGATTTGAGTTCATCTTCTTTTTAGGTAGTCGTTGAAGATTTTGTACATTGAAGCTGATATGAAATAATATCTAGATGACTGAGCTTTACTCGGTGGTTTTATTAGAACATTATTTAAATAAAAGAATTCCGATTGAGGTTTGAACTTGAATGTCCTACGTAGCAAGCGTTTGCTCTCCGTACTATTCTAGATCGATGTAACGTCCCCGAAGCCCCCTAAATACAAAATATCAAGAAAATCGATGGAGCTGTTTCCGAGATCCTTGATATATACATATTATACTATTTATATATAAGAATTCCCGTTTAAAGGTATTTGATTGGAGGTGTTTCAACAATTGCCATGTAATGCCAAAGGTAATGTTAACTCATGTAGATGGGTTTAATACTGTTCGTTCAATTGTCATGCTCCATGGAGTAAATTAGCTATTGCTGATTCGCTAAAATTATTACATTGAATATCCAGATTACAGATATTCTATATTCCATAACATAACATAATCTCACGCTTTTTATCACCCAAGGGACAGGCAGAGGCGCACATTACGGCACTTAATGCCACTATACAATGTAACCCACTTATTCACTATTTATGTTAAGAGTCCCATGTAATAGGGGGTGAGCCTATTGCCATATACCGGGCACATGTCCACACTCCGTGCTACTACTAAGATTTTTAAAACTCAGTAATACTTTGCCCGACCCGGGAATCGAACCCGACACCCCTTGCCCGGTAGTCGCACTTGCGACCACTCGGCCAACGAAGCAGTCTTAATATTCTATATTCCGTACCATTATATTGGATTAAAGACCGATTTAGCCGGTAAATCATGTTTTTTAAACCTTAATCCATAGCGTCTTCTCCTGTGCCGTGCGTGCGATTACAAACATACAAGTTCGCATACATATCACACTTGCTCTATGCGGGAATTAAACCTACTACACGTTGTGCGGCAGGCGGTTGCCCATTCACCCCACCAACCGTGCAGTCAATTTTAGTTAAAAGTTATTATTACTTACCACCACTAAATACTTTTTGTATTATTCGTTTTGTCAACAAATTCGAAAATGCTAGCTCCAATAAATGATAAGAAAATTTAAATTATTGAACTTTAACCACTGATACTAAAAGCTCAATTCAGTGACCAATAAAATTAATAGTAATAATAATTTACATCCAATTCGGGGATTTATATAAATCCATTCGACAAATTATTTACACCATGAAGATTAAAACGGTTTTAATATATAAAATGAATTACATTTGTTATTGCCAACTTTGTAATTATTTACTAGACCAATACATATAACATTCAGTAATTAATTGGGTTTCGATTTATCTCCTCTAATGAAGTATTGGAAAAATTACTTTTAATTAACTGATGCGGTTTTTATTTAACTTTAAAGCAAAAGTTGTGAAAACCATGCATCATTGTTGTCAACTTGGAGAATTCATTTTGAATTTTATGAATTTAATTTTTTGTAGGGGCTGCTAATGTATAGGTGGAAGCGTAAATCTTCATGATTCATCGCTATGTTGTGAAAATTGTATCAAGTTACTCGATTTAGCACTGAAAAATTATTAAACATAGCTTGATCTAGCTATTCTCCATGTGTTCGATTATAACAAGTTTTCGATAATTAAAGGCATAAACTTTGCTTCCTTCTGCAAATAAAAAGAAAGATGTCACACGTTACATAAATTAATTAATGTATAAATTTTAAAACATATCCTAATTGACAATTTTCATCTCTTTCCAGGTCAGAGCCGAGGCAGAAATATACCAAAGTAAGTGGGAATCCAATTAGTGAGAGTTTACCTTAAGTAGATTTTACCAGTACTTTGTTGGGCGCCAATAAAATTGATTTGGCAATTAACCTTATTGGCGCCCAAATGGGACTATCTGAAAAACTCATTTAAAAATTAACTTATACCATTTTGAGATCACATCGTGCCGTAATTTCGATATATAATATTAAAAGATGTTATTAATTTGTTTGTTAATGTTAAGGTTTTAATATTAAACTTGTGAAGTTTTGATTCAATATAAAGGTCTGTCTTGGTTTAATCAATCAAGTTTAAGTACTGGCTAATAAGAATTCTAATTAATGTGGCACTATCTTCGAATATTTATTAGAGAAACAATATTATTTCTCTTTGATTTCATAGATTTTGTGGGTGCATTATAATACTTAATTAAATGTCTAATTACACTATAAATAAAGATATATAAATACGAAATTGGTTTCGTTTCAGAGAACAGTATCTCGTAATATTAACAGTAATGTTTTATTGTTTTTAATAAAACGTAGTAATACATAATTGTTATTAGTAACAACGTTGTCCAGTCGACGTACAATAATTAAGAACTGGATATAATAAAACATAAAACTATCTTAGAATAACACACAATATAAAATATATAATGTAACACCCACTTTTTACTATTTATGTTATGCCCATATTGCCCATGTAATAGGGAGTGAGCCTATTGCTATATACGAGACACAATTCCAGACTATATGCCAGAGGGTTTTAAAAAAAAAAACCAGTAATACTTTACCTCATCCGGGAATCAAACCGGAGACCCCTTGCCCAGCAGTCGCAATTACGATCACTTGGCCAACGAGGCAGTCTTACAATATAGTATCTTACAGTAATCTAAATTATTTCATAGTCTCTATTACCTACAGTTCTATTCTGAAATCTGATAAAATGAATCTTCTTAGTATATTGAAAAAACAATGCTATCAATCTTGAAAACTCAGATTTCAGTCCGAACTAAGTTTGCTAATAGTAAAAATAAACTCCCCAGTCATTGCATTCCCTAAAAACTTATCAAAAGGTTACGAGTACTAAAATCGAAATGAAACGTGACTTTTTATACATACCAGCCAAATTCCAATACCATCAATGTTAACACATGAGAATTTCGAGAGAAATCCTGGCACGAAGTTAAAAAGGCTAGAAAAAAATGTCACACGGAATATCAGGGAAAAATCAGGCGGTACCGTATGAATAGTTCTTTAGGCTGCCGAAGAGCCATTGAAAAAGACTGTCACTGGTGTAACAGGAAAATGGACTGTCTGGTTGAGAGCTAGGGTTGGTTTTTGTTTAATGATGGCAACTAATTATCGCGGGCGTCTGGCTTGAAAGAAAGTAGAAGAAGCCAGTGAAATCGTGCGACTATAACCTATAATTATAAAGAGACGATTAGCGCAGGGCTTCTTTAGTACTGTGACACTGATTGTCTTCGGTTTATTTAATTAACTAGCTCCTGCCAGCGGCTTCGCCTGCATTATTGGGGGTAAAAAGTGTATATTTTACTCCAGACCAAAATTTACATCTGTTCCAATTTTTATTCTGTTTCTCTCCAGCAGTTTTGTGACTGAGTAACAAACATAACCAAACTCACAAATTTGCGCATTTATAATGGCAATTCAAGCTAATTTCGGATAACCTAGCATTAGACAAATTTACATTTGCGTTTGGTACAATAATCTCGTCTAGGGATCGAGCCGCATAATTAAGTTTGTTTTTGGTGTTTTTATTTTTTTGGTTTACAAATTACGCAGAGTGATGCCCAGGATATTCAAGTATATTATACCTCTACAAAGTTTCAAGGTAACCGGCTCTGTAGTTTTTCCGTGATGCATACATATAGACAGACAGACATAAATATGTATTTTAGTCACATATTTGAGTTCCTTGTTGTGTAGTGACTGCCTCGTTGGCCGAGTGGTCGCAAGGGATCTGGGGTTCAATTCCTGGGTCGGGCAAAATATTATTGGGTTTTAAAAAAAATCTCAGTAATAGCACGGAGTCTGGAATTGTGCACGAGATATGGCAATAGGCTCACGCCCTATTACATGGGACTTGTAACATAAATCGTGAAAAGTGGGTGTTACGTTGTGCAATGGCATAATGTGCACCTCTGCCTACCCCTTCGGGGATAAAAGGCGTGATGTTATGTTATGTTTTATGTATATATGAGTTCAGTATCTGTCTAGTAACACCACCCCACTATTTAGTTTTTTAATATTTTCAATATACAGAATTTACACTTCTAACAGTTTTAATATATGTATAGATTTATCCGTTCTTTGATGAGATATCTTTAATCTTGAATAGCCGAAAGGTTTCATTATCATGAAATATGATTGTTAGATTTTATGATTTGTAAAATTTTGAATGATAGTAATACATTTTCATGTAAATTTCAGCAGTGTTTTGATAGGTCTGTACGCATATCAATAATTCTACATATTTACATGTCATTGTTTTAACCCGTCGAGTACCGGTTTTGTAGACACAATTATAGAACAATAGGTTGCGGTCACCGGTGACCGCTTGGTGTTTGACAGTTTAAGTTCTAGTCGAAAGTACACCTGTAAGTACAGGGTACAATAGATGCAATATTAAAAATGTTATTTATATCTGTGCAGTGTTTTCTTTAGATGGTATAAACCGATGGTATATACTTTTGTCAAGCCTAGTAAACTGGACGTAGGATATAGTAGCAACCAGAAGTCTATGTAGTTCATTTTTTTTTTTTTGGAATAAGCCGGTAAGTAACAGACGCATCACCTGATACACCAAAAGGCGTTAAAAGTGCATTGCCGGCATTTTAGAGATTAGGTATTTGAGTATTGTTAGGGATTCGGGGATTGGGAAGATTGGGATTGAGGTAATGGCACCTCCACTAACTTCACACACACGACGAATCACAACGCAACTGTTGTTTCACGTTGGATCCTTCTACAACAACAATCTTAAAGATATTACATGAAGTTCATTGACATCATTCAGTATTCCATACGATCTAGTTCTATTCCATACTTTGCTATTCACCGGCTACTGACAAGAGCTTGTTACGTATGTGAATTCAACGTCTACTATTGTACCCTCTCTATTGATCCCGAACTTTGATTTGTATATAATGTTATATTCAGATGTACTTATGATATAGTTTGGGTGACTAATAATAGCCTAGTTACGTAATGATGTAATGTAGAGGGTAGTTGGAAATATCCGAAACTTATAATTACATATAGATTTTCGACTATAAATGTTTTAACATTTGGTTTGAAATACTATTATACTGCTGGTGAACGCCTGGTTGGTCAAGTGGTCACAATTTTGAATACATTTTTTTAAACGTTGCCACACACTATGATTTTCTTCTGTGTCGTGGGTGCGTATACAAACATACAAATTCACATACACATGACACCCAGACCCGTAACAACAATCTGTGGATCACACAAACAGTTGTTTCGTGCGGGAATCGAACACGCGACACGTTGCACGGCAGTCAGTTGCCCAACCACCGCGCCAACCAATCACAATTCACAACACGTCTTGATTCTCAGGTCAAGAAAAGTATAAATTCGCATCTTTAAAGTAAAAATTGTCTGTTTCTGAGTCTGGTATTACGCCCACTGTGCGACCAACTGGTAAAAACGGTTGATACGATATTGTACCTAAGTAATATACGGTTATGTTACTGCCGACCATCGAGTAAATTCCAGATTCCATTCTTTCTGTGAACAGAAGCCGTCAATGAATTATTAGTACCTACTCAGAACCATTTAAAAAGTAAAATAAAAAGCAATAAAATAAATAGCAAATAGCAATTTCGTCAGTAATTAGTTCTTAGAAAATTTCATATCAAGCACTCTTCCTTTGTTTATTTTGACCTTTGTACATTTATGGAAAAATACCAAATATGAAGTATTTTGATATCCAGTTAATGAAAGGATAGATAAAAGAGACAGTACTAATTGGACGGAAATATATATGTTCAAGAAATAGAGTAAATAGATAATATTTTATATAGTAACTAATATTTCGCCCGCTGTTTTGCTCGTAGTATATAAATCTTCAAGAAATATAATACTCTACAACTTTCCCTAAGAATATTATGCAGACAAGAATCCGTTCAGTAGTTTTTGAGGTTATAACGGACTGACAGACATTTTTTTATGGAATAACCCGTTAATCGAACAGACGGATCACCTCATGATAATCAATCTACGTTACACGCCTTTTGGAGATTAGGAATTTGAGGATTGTTGGTGATTTAGGGATTGAGGAGATTAGGAAAGGGGAAGGGGAGGGGTAATTGGGCCTCCACTAACCTCACTCACATGACAAAATACAACGCAAGCGTTGTTTTACGTTGGTATTTTGCTTGGCCGTGGTATTATTTCGGTCGTGCCGGTCCATTCTCCTGAAGCATGGCTCCGCCATACTTAAACCAGGGTATTTCATTTTATGATAAGTATATAATATATAGAATGATATTAATAAATAACCTACGGCAGCTCAACTTCCTAAAAATTGTTTTTCTAAACTTTAGATACCATTTTTTCTTAATAAGTTACATACACACAAGATTTCAACTACTACAGCTTAACTTCTTGAAATACTCAATTACTAGACAAGACATACGTGTTCCAACGAAACTTCTTCAACAATCCTCCAAAGAGATAAAACACAAACAATAGAATCACGTATTACGATTTATTTAGTTATCAGTAGTTTCAAGAACTTAACTTCAGTATATCGAAATATTGTCTATCGTATTTCCAACAGCAAACATTGGAACAACGTTGCAAGTAGACAGTGGAAGCACAAATTAATTTAAGCTGGCAACTCTGTAGATATTCCGGCCATAACGGGGAATAAAGCACGAATGCAAGACAAACTGCCGGCGCAGTCAAAGTTTAGATGTCGATTGGCGGGATTGTTCCAAAATTCTTAGGAGAATGTCTGTTACTTATTAG